TCTGAGGTGACTTTGTCTCTATAGACCTGTAATGTGGGGTCAGTGATTACTTCTGCCGCAAATTCGGTAGGAGGAGCCCAGGGAATACACTCTAAGGTAGGGGAAGGATCTCTTAACTGGACCTCCGGGAGTGTGTTGTAGTCCTGGGTGCGGGCCTGTTGTCGTGTAACCACTGGGTGTGCCTCTCCGGTTGTTGGAACCTAGGGCTCAAAAGCCAAAGTAAGTTTGCCCAGATCATTCCCCAACAAAACTTCTGCTGGCAGTTGGGGCATCAACCCCACTTCCACATTCCCAAACCCCGCTCCCCAATGCAAATGTACCCGGGCTGTGGGTAGCCGGTATACTGCTCCCCCGGCTACCCTGATGGCTACTGTTCTGCTGGTCTTGGCCTGGTCAGGTACCAAGTGACTTTTGACCAGGGTGGCCCCCGAGTCGCAAAGACCCTGGACTGCTTTCCCCTCTAGGTATACCGTCTGTCTATGATGTTGACGTTTGTCTGCATTTGCTTGTACAGGATCAGCTTCCCATTGTTCTACTGTAGTTATGGGAATTGCTGTGCCATAGGGTGTTGCTGTCTCTGATTGGTAGCAGTGAGCCGCCGCTCGAGGTGGTGGAGGTAGGCCGGTCGGATGCAGGTAGAGCGATCTTTTAACTGGGGGCACTCTCGTTTATAGTTTCCCCATCGTTGGCAATGGTGGCACTGCACAGAGCTAGTTGGCTGGAACTTCTGTTGCACGTTAGAGGGTGGGTAAGGAGGTAGTTGTCGCGGTGACGTAGTGGTGTTGGGGTATGGGCTGTTCCCCCCTACGGGTCGGGTCACTGTCTTGATGGGGGTCGGTTTTTGTTGTCTGCGGGCATCTAAGTATTCATCCTCCTTCTTAGCTGCCTCTGTGAGGGAGATTGGATTGCGGTCTCTCACCCATTCCTGTACATCATTCTTGATGCCCTCATAGAATTGTTCCAATAACAACATTTGTAATAAGTCCTCCATGGACCGAGCTTTATTTGCCTGTACCCATCCGCGAGCGGCCCGGTGTAGCTTGCAAGCCCATTCCACATGAGAGTCCTTATCATTTCTTTTCAACTCACTAATTCGCCTCCAGTATGCCTCTGGAGTGATGGCATATCGGGCCAGGATCACCTCTTTTACCCTGTGGTAGTTCCGAATCTCCTCATCCGGTACAGTTCTGTATGCCTCAGCTGCCTTCCCAGTGAGCCTACCTGCCAGAATAGGTACCCACTCTTCTGGACTAATATTATGCAGTGCACACAGTCTCTCGAAATCTTGTCCTCCTCTGCCTCTACATATGTTTTAAATGCTTGGTAAGGTATTTTTGTCTTACCCTGTTCGATGGTAGTTGTGGTTTTATTCCTCTCTGCGTTTTTTAGTGGTCTTTGGCGTAGTATAAACTCCTGCACTTCGGTCATCGTCCTGGATATAATATCCGCCGATGGGTTCTCTCCATAAAAGGACAGCCTAAACTGTAGCTGCCTTTGGAACTCTTCTTGTACTGATCAATCTGCTGAACTCTGCTGTTCAGGGATTGCCCTGTCCTCGTTTTTGGTATTCTGCCATCACATCTGCATTGAGGGTTGCTTTTCTTTTGTTGCTTGCTGCAATACCTTCTAGGAGATCTTTTAAGCTTAGCATAATCACTCTCCATCCGTATTCCATTAGTCCTTGTTCCCTTGTGAGTCTGGATCCCAGTGCTGCCAACCAATGTAGCGGAGAGCTGGTATTACACAGCCTATCTCCACTTTAGACCCCAGTAAGTAATATTTCCAGCAGGCAAAAAGACTCCAACAATATCCCAATCACAATCCCAATGACTGGACGACACACAGCATCAGGAGCACAACTAAACTTTTATTCACAGCAGTTCCTTATAAAGGATTATCCCATGCAAGGGAGGGATTTCCAGTAATTATAACAGTAACCAATATTAGAGAGGTCCCCTCCCCTACTTTTCTCTCCTCAGTGTGACACTTAATCCACTTAATGCTGGTACCTTTTTCCCTGTTTCTTGGATGTACCCCAAAACTGTGGTACCTGGTAGCTCTGATCTGGGTGACCAACATGCTCAAAACTGACCCAGATCAGACCAGGGGTTCGGGAGTTATGGGGAATAAACGATTTGACCGACCGCACACGAATATGTAGCTGAAAAGAGTTCCATGTGGTTTGGCCTTGCGGTCGGTCTACGTTCGGGAGGTAAAACAGTTATAAACCTTTGCCATCCATAGCTAATACAGCGTTCACATGAACCCCCTTGGTCGGTAGGTTGAATTCACCGAACGAGGAGTCGATTGGCCCCTCCGTTTGAGAGTTCTGGAGCTCTGGAGGTCTCAGCGGTGTTCGGGCTATTGAGTGTCCGATTTGAGTTCCAGACACTCGATGACGAAACACCGCTGAGAGTTCGTGTGTAAGATTGCCGCCGCCACGTGTTCGTCTACCAAATGGCGGCCACCCAGATACGGCAATATAACACCAATTAACTGCGGTTAGAGAAGTGGGAAAGTTTTAACGAGGTGCACACTTCTCTCTGAGGTGGTCTATAGATTTGGTAGTTTCCATTCGTATGAACTATGAATGAAACTACCGAACCAACATGCGAATACACATACAATTTTCAATATACAGTCAGTTAAATACACGAACAGACTTTTAAGACATAATCCTGGCGGACAGTCCCATGCCATCCGCTACAGTGGTGCCTTTGAACCTGAGACCACCCATCTGCATCCAAGCTTTAGGACCAAGCTTTCCAGTACAGTCACTACTTAGTGAGATCAAACCATAATTTACAACAACAAGAAGCTTCCACATTTTTTCCTTGCCCTACTTATCTGATGTTATGTAGATTTGAACGAACCCGGACTGTAAAGTTCGGGTTCGTACCAAACATTAGTTTTTTTTGGATCCCGGACCCGAACACGGACATATCACTGTATGTTCGGGTTGGAGTTCGGTTTTCGGCGATTTAATGGTGCGTTTTCAAAGGCTGCAGGGCAGCCAATCAACAAGCATTTGACTTGTGTGCCCTTAGAAGCCATCACAGCCATGCCTACTAATGGCATGGCTGTGATTGGCCAGTGCAGCATGTGACCCATTCTATGTTTCTATAGGTTAACACGGTAAAGGAGTTTAAGCATGCATAAAACTATAAGATAAGGCCAGGGACTAATGAAAGTATTTAGAAAATTGGGCAGACTAGATGGGCCAAATGGTTCTTATCTGCCGTCACATTCTTTAAGCCAGAATTGCGTAGGGAGAGAATGCTGCCGCTGATAGGGACAGCTTAGGAAAGAATTCTGCAAACTAGTACATTAGTGGGTTGGGGTGCACTTCAAAAAAGAATCTTCAAATACTGCTGTCACATTGCAGTTTTAAAACTTAAAATTATTTGGGTACTAAACTGCTAAAAAGTATTTTAGTGGGGTGCACGTCATATCTGAGAGTTAAATAGAAGCGTCTAATAGTGTGCTTACAGCGCAGTTTTAAAAATTCTAATTGTTTTGCTGCTAATCTGCTAAATAGTACATTTTGTGGCCTGCTCTTCATATCTGAGAGTTAAATAGAAGCGTCTAATAGTGTGCTTACTGCGCAGTTGTAAACATTCTAATTGTTTTGCTGCTAATCAGCTAAATAGTACATTTGCTGCCTGCGGTGCACTTCATATCTGAGAGTCAAATAGTGATCGAATGTTTACAACTGTGCAGTAAGCGCACTATCATTATTTGACTCTCAGATATGAAGTGCACCGTAGAATGTTTACAACTGTGCAGTAAGCGCACTATCACTATTTGACTCTCAGATATGAAGTGCACCGCAGAATGTTTACAACTGTGCAGTAAGCGCACTGATGGTTTTGTTGCTAATCTGCTGCTTACATTGCAGTTTTAAAAAGTCAAATCGAAGAGTAACTTTGATTCGAATTTACTACAGCTCTAAGTTATAGAAAACAGATTGATATTTTCTACACTAGAAACTATCAGATAACAAGCTGCTATATTTAAACCAGTTATCAATAGCTAAGAGGTACTTAAACAATATTGGAATTCTGGGGCAATACCCTCACAAGTCAAACTGAGAGGTCAGTTTATAGGGAAAACTGTTGCCTGGATACAATTCTAAAACAATTTCCATATGTCCTTTGCAGACTTTAAATGCTGGAAAAACACAGGTGCCAACGGCTGTAGCTTTCTGCAGTGTGCAGACTGGCAAGGAGGGCAGGGTTGAGGAGTGGGTGGAAGATGATGTGGAGGATGATGAGGTCCTAGACCCCACATGGAATAAAAGTCATGCGAGTGACATGTGCAGTTTGGAGGAAGAGGCACTGGTCGCACAGAGACACCAGCACAGCATAAGAGGGAGCAGGGTACAAAAGCGGATCGGCCTGTCGGCATATATTAGTTATCCAAGTAATACATGTAGAGATCAAAGTTTCCATAATAGAGTTGAGCGAACGGTTCGAACCAGATTTAACGATCCATTTGTAGTTTCACAGTCAGGTTTCACAGTCACACTGTCTGGGTGGCGGTCGGACGACTGGGACCCAGTATGCTTGATGTTGAAGTTAGGAGTCACAGTGTGGAATGGATTAGCAGGGTCTGGTGCAGAATAACAACCACTGGTGTTGAGCACCAGCGGTTGTGCGGCCACAATACCAGGACCCTGATGCAGCTTCAGTAAAAAGAGTACTGGATGCCAGAAGCCATCACCAGACTGATCCGGAACTTGGAACAGGATATGAAATTCACTTTTGGCGTTCTCACCCTGCTGCTGCTTGCCTGTCTGCGCTGCAGCGTAACTTTGACCTTCCCACTCACCGCCTAATGAGACTGTGCGAGCAGCAGCAGGCGATAGTGGAGTTTCAGCTGCAGCACGCACGGGTCAGTGGCTCTGCACCAGATTTCCCTCCAATTGATCAGAGTTAAAAGATTTCAAGTGGACTCATTACAATTACAGGGCCTCTAAAGAGTCCTGTATTGTTATTTGTCGTCACTACCTTCCCGCGTCGGGAGTGGGTCATTTGCGCGCCTGCTGCCTTCCTTGCATGTGATAGCCGTTTCTCAGGGTTCCTGTATGGAATGGAACCCTGATTCCCTGTTACCCGTGGTCACCATGGTAGGAGCAGAAACTGGTATTGAAAGTTGATATGGATGACAGAGTTGCGGAACAGAGTTGTATTTTTTTTGTATGTCCCAATATTTTGTGGGCTACCACAATAAAAAAAAAAGACATTGTTGGCTACCTCATCCTCCTCCACCGCCACAGTCACCGCCTCCTCAACCTATGTGTCACTTAGTATAAACTAGGTACACATTAGCAGAGGCTCGTGAAGGCCTTTTCTCCATGCATCAGGAGTTGAGCATTTCTCCATGCATCAGGACTGCAAGAAATGCACAGCAGGCCGCAAATGTTTCTTTTTTTGTATGTCCCAATATTTTGTGGGCTACCACAATAAAAAAATTTAAAAAAAAGACATAAAAAACAGTGTTGGCTACCTCATCCTCTTTCTCCACCGCTGCTTCCACCTACACCGCCATGATCACCGCCTCCTTAACCTATGGGTCACTTCGATTAAACTATGTACACAATAGCAGAGGCTTGTGAAGGCCTTTTCTCCATTCATCAGGAGTTGAGCTCAGTTTAAACAATGAAAGAGAACTATAAGGGGGCCTAATGTCCTCCTCCCCAGCCTCCACCCCTGCGCGGCAGGTGGGGCCCTAAATAACAATAAGGGGGGGGACCTACTGTCCTCCCCACACCCCTGAGCGGTGGGTGAAGGCCATAAATAAAAATTGGGGCCTTTTTGGAGGCCAAAAAATAAGATTTTAGAAGAAAGAAGACATTAAATGGTGAGTTTATATTTTTTTTTTTACCCGTATTTAGACAAGGGTCCCCCCCTTATTATTTTTAGGATTAGGGGGTAGGTAGGGGTAATTTTTTTGGGGGGAGCGGTGTGACTAGTGGTTTGGCCTCCATCCACCGCTCAGGGGTGGGGGCCGGAGGGAGGACATTAGGTCCCCCCCCAATTTTCATGTATGGCCCCCACCCACTGCTTAGGGGTGGGGGCCAGGTGGAAGACATTAGGTTCTCCCCCTTATTGTTTTTTAGGGCCCCCATCCGCCACGCAGGGGTGAGGACTGGGGGGAGGACATTAGGAACCCCCCAATTTTCATTTATGGCCCGCACCCACCGCTCAGGGGTTGGGGCCGGGGGTGAAGACAGAAGGTCCTTTTCAGTTCGGGTTCGCTCAACTCTTTTCAAAAGCTATTATCTGGAAGTTTGATACTTTCTCACTGTAAGATGAAATTTAAATGCAAATTGTTGGGGTTTTTTTTTCATACATCGGCTGTAGTGATGGTTAGAAGGATTACAGGTAAGAGTGAAGGGAAGGGGGAAAGAAAGGAAGACAATTTAGTTAGTGATACACTGAATAGATGCACTCGAAAGGAATTAAGGTGTGCATGAGTAGGTATGGACACAAAGAATTATGATTGTGTGGGTCATGATTAGAGAATTCATTTTGTAGTGCTATTTGAGCACAGAAGAAATACATATTTACAGTGGAAACGTATGGAATCTAAATAACCCCCAACTAACAAGTTAAATAACAAATAAATAGCAAAGTAGGTCATCTTCTGTGTTTAAGTATTAAATCTTATTCTAATTTTTTTTCCCTTCCATTTTGTTCGCCTCCCCAAAGTAACAAAGGACATAACCTCACCTAGTGGAATTTAGTGTGTGTACAGTAGTGACACGGATAGAGAAAGATGGAGAGAAGGGCTTCAGTAAGTGCCTTCGGTATGAAAGTAGTGCATAATGTTTGTTTCTGTGATTTTGTGGTACAATATTTGTATTTTCACATCACTGTGTTCAAATGGGAAAAAGTCATGATCAGGATAACCTCTATAAGTATCCAAGGTCTCAATATTCGGCAAAAAAGGTTGGCTTTTGATGAGAATCTAAAGGGAAAAAAAATTGCAGATAGTTTTTGTTCAGGAGACACACTGGCGACAACTAGATGAGAAAAGATGGTATGGAAGACGTTTCCTACAGTAATCAGGGCTTCAAGAATTAAAGAAAAAAAAAGGTGGTGTGGCCATCTTTTTTTCAAAGTCTTTACAAATCAAAATAAGACATCAAGATCGGGATCACGAGGGAAGATTCCCATATATTAGTATGTCCTGTTAATGGTGAATTTTATCACATGACAGGAGGCTTCGTATTTTGCATAATCTTTCTTTACTATCTCCATAGCAGCAAAGAAATGAGTGACAAAACTTTTAACCAATCACAACGTAGAATAGGGTATAAGAGGTGAGACCTATGACATCATTTCCTCTTTCTTTGCTGCTCCATCACAAGCTAAGTACCAAATTTTGTATTATCTATTCAACATACACTTTTCATTTACATGACCTTTTGTTTCACTGTACCTTTATATATTTACCCTATTAATGCTCTTAACCCCTGTATACCAGGGGACCCTGTCTGGCTCCCTAACTGTCTTTCACGGCTTTCCCGCCGTCTGTACTTTTCCTCCATTTTCTCTGTTTCTCTTTAACAGTTTTCTGTTCTTTCTACCGAACGCGTTATTCGGTAGTTTTGCGCATTCGCCTGTTTTACTCGAATGCCCGCGCGACCGCACATTGACTATTCGTTTCTAACTACCGAACGCTTCGTTCGGCAGTTTGACGCGATCGCCTTTTTAAACGTTCGCATCTATTTCTATTCGCACGTTCGGCAGTTCGCATAGATTTTCTATTCACGTTCGGCAGTTTTATGCGAATGGCAAGCTTACAGTTTGCCGCCCAAACTGGGGGAGGTACTATTCTCCACACACTGAGCCTGTCAGTCCGGCGGCCATCTTAAAGAGATAGACACTGCCTGATTTTTCTGCTCCTGCTATTCCAACAAGCAATTGAAAGCCTTACCCTTTTTCACTCAGTGGGACCAGGTTAGTGCCTTACACTTGGGGTTGGTTTAGCCAGTTGGTCTGCACCTTATTCTGGCCGGGGTGAGCCCCCATTTTACGCTGCTAAACGGTCCTGTTTATGCAGGTTCCGATCACCTGGGTGAGCCCCAGTGAATCAGCCCTCTCCTCTACGACCTACCGGTCTCTAACCACAGGTTATTTAGTCCTGATACCATACCACCCCGGTCCCCAGGCCTCTCCATTAATCGTGCCTAGTGCCCTCACGCAATTTACCGGGTGAGCCCCGAATCCTCACTCCTCATAATGGAGGAATCACAAACCCCAGACCTCCAGGCCATGATAACAGCAGCCGTGGCTGCAGCCATGGAACAAGCCGCTTCCAAGTCGCTCCAAACAAACCCTGAGGTTCCCAGGCCCACCTCTAAACGGGTTCATTATAAGGCGGACTCCGAAGACTCTGACTCTTCCAGGGAACACTCCCAACAGCGAAAACGCCATTGGAAGGGCAATGTAACCCCACGCAAGGCTAAAGGGAAAGCCCCTGCTGATCGCAGGAAAGCCACGGTTCGTGCTACCCACGATGCCACACAACTTTCCTCAGGTGAGGAAGATGTAGAACCCACTCAGGCACTAGCTGTGCTGGATGAATGGCAGGCGGCAGCCTCTGACCAGGGGGACTCTGACAGGGATTCCACGGCCAACTCTGACCCTTACTTCATAAGGGAACAGGGTCTGGGTGAGCCCCAGGACTCCATGGCAACATCCATTGATAACCCACAGGAGGGCTCGGAGATTTTCCTTGACAATTCGGGCCTCCAAATGTTTGACCCAAGAAACATCCGGCACCCCCGTTCGGAAGAATGGTCTCCACCTGAGCATTTGGCAAGGTTTATGCACTTCTGGCTCAGAAAACCGCTAGACAAGGAGGTTAGAAACCGGATGAGATCCGAATGCCCTCGCCCTAGTCTACCGGACAAAGTGACGCACACCCCCGAGTTTGACCCGCTCATGACTACGTTCATGTCCCGAGGGGGTCGGGATCCGCGCAAGGGCATAGAGCGCGGCTTTAAAGGAGCGCAAGATAAGCTGCTAGATGCCATTGGGCCACTAGCCAGAATCATGGATATGGCGGATGAAGCCTATGAGAGGGCTGACACTTTTACCCCAGATACGGTGCGTGAATGGGCACGAGATACCCGTGAATGGGCACAAAGGTGTTTCTGTTTCTTAGGGAACACCAACGTAGCCCTCTCTTCGGAGAGGCGCCGAGCAGCACTTTACCGTATCGACGAAAAACTGGTCGAACTGGGGGATAAGGAATTAGGACCCTTAGCACAGGGTAAACTATTTGGAGAGGCCTTCCTTAAGGAATTAAATAAAAGGGTCAACATATTCACGTCCCTTAACAAGGCACAATCTTCAATGCGGAAAGTCTTCCGCGGTTCCCACACCCGTGGTGTTTTTGGAAGGGCTGGACGGCAGAGGGGCCGTGCCGCCAGCCGTTTTTGGCCATCCGGCCCCCGTACAACAAGGACTCAGATGTTCTACCCAGACTCATCTAGTCGAAATAGATTCAACCACTTCAGGGGATCTGATCGTGGCCGAGGCACCCGAGGACGCTCACGAGCAAGATTCTCCAACGGTAAGTCGGAATCTTACTCTTCCTCTAACCCCCTGTCATATCGCAGGTCGTGTTTCTCTTTTTTTCCAGAACTGGAAAGAACTATCTTCAGATGCGTGGATAATCCAAACGGTGCAGGGCTATCGAATAGAGTTCGACTCGACCCCGCTCCAGCTGACCCCTCCACGTCCAATCCAGACTACACGAGCAGATGCCCGCCTCATAGACGCGGAACTCCGAGAACTCCGCTCCAAGGGTGCCATTCAACCGGCTCCGGATGCCACCGGTTTCTACAGCAATATCTTCCTGGTCAGGAAGAAAACAGGCGAATTTCGCCCCGTTATCAATCTCAGGGAGCTCAATTCGCATGTAGTATATCGACACTTCAAAATGGAAGGTATACACCTCCTCCGGGACTTGCTTCGACGCGACGACTGGTTCACTCGTCTGGACCTCAAAGATGCGTACCTTACCATTCCGGTACACAGAAGCAGCCGTCCCTACCTCCGCTTCTTCTGGCACGGGATTCCTTGGCAGTTCACCTGTCTCCCGTTTGGCCTCAGCTCGGCCCCGTGGTGTTTTACCAAGATCATGAAGCCGGTAGTGGCAAAAATCAGATCCCAAGGTATAAGATGCATCATCTACCTCGACGATATCCTGATCTTCGACGAGGATGCAGACACTCTGCGGAGACATACGGAATACGCACTACACCTTTTGGACTCTCTGGGT